TGAATAAAAATGAACAAAACTGGTAGGCTGACGATCGACGATATTGATGTATGCATACTTAATTTCCCATTTGATCAAAATGAACAAAATAAAATCATACGTTATAGCTCATGATAATCGTGATTTTTGAATTATAAAAACTTAATTGTCATTAGATCGAAAGGAACGAATATGGAGAACAATCATGAATTATAACTCATGAAATCGCAAATTTTGAAGCAATCATTAATGTTCATTGGATTGAAACTAACAAAAATAGACCAAAATCATGGGTTAAAGCCCAATAAAAATCGCAAACATTGAAGTACTAATACTTAATTGACATTGGGTCAAAACAAATGAAAATGAACAAATTTCATGAGCTATGGCCAATGATAATTATGAATTTTGAAGTATGTGCACAAAAATTGCCATTTGGTCGAGACGAACAAAAATTGACAAAAACATGGGTTATAACATATGATAATCGCGATTTGTTAAGTAGGCACACCTAATTGCAATTTGGTCGGGATGAACGAAAATGGACAAAAATAATAGATTCAAGGCTATGAAATCATGAATTTTCAAGTACACATACTTAATTTTGATTGGTTCGAAATGAACGAAAATGGACAAAAAACGTGGTAGAGCCCATAAAAATGACGAACCTTTAAATATCGATACTTTGAAATATATGTACATGATTTGTCATTAGATCGAAACAAACGAATATGGACAAAAAAGGGTTACTGCCCACAAAAAAATTATGAATTTTGAAACATACATAATTTCCAATGGGATAAAAAGAATGAAAATGAAAAGAAAAAAATATGCCTAAGAAAACCATGAATTTTGAAACACGCATACTCAATTGGTGTTGGGTCAAAACAAATAAAAAGGATACAAATCGGATATTTGAGACCATAAAACATTTTGAACTTTGAAGTACCCATACTTAATTCTCATTCGGTCGCAACGAACGAAAAGTCGTAAAGTGGGGGCTAGCCTATGAAACTCTCAAATTTTGAAGTACAATACCTAGATATCATTTAGTCAAAATGAAAGAAAATGGAAAATTTGTGTCTGTAACTTATGAAAATCATGAATTTAGAACTACACATACCTACTTTGTCATTTGGTCCAAACAAAGGGAAATAAAAAATAACAATGGGTTATAGCCCTTGATAATCGCAAGTTTGAAGTATGTATTCTTAATTATCATTAGGTAGAAACAAATTAAAATAAGCAAAAACATGGTTCAGAGATAATTACATCACGAATGTTGAAGTGGGCATGCATTGGCTCGAAATGGTTGAAAATGAACAAAAACTGAAGGTCATAGCCCATTAAAATTGCGAACTTTGAAGAAGGCATATTTAATTGTCATTTGGTCGAAGCAAAAAAAAATTAGACAAGAATCAAGGGTTAGAGCCCATAACATCGTGAATTTTGAAGTATGCATGTTAAATTCGTCATGTGGTTGAAACAAATAAAAATGAACAAAACATGTGGTTATAACCCAAGAAAATTGGATTGAGGTACGTATATGTAATTGTCATTAGGTTAAAACGAATGAAAATGGAAAAACTTTGTAGGTTGAAATAAAAGCCAATGAAAATCGTGAATTTTGAAATATGCATACTTAATTGCGATTGGGTTGAAATAAATAGACAAAAATTATGGGTTATTTTTAAGCCCATGAAAATTACAAATTTTAAAGTAAGCATACTTCATTGCTATGGGTTTGAAAAATTTTAAAAAAATTAACATAGGTTTTAAGCCCATGACAATCACGAATTTCAAAGTAAGCATATTTGATATCATTTTGTTGAAATTATTGAAAACAAAAAACATAGGTTATAGCCCTTAATAGTAGCGATTTTTGAAATACGCATACTTTGCATTAGATCTAAGTAATGAAAATAGACAAAATCGTGTGTTAGAGTCTACAAGAGTCCCGAATTTCGAAATATGCACTTAACTGTCATTAGGTCGAAATAAACAAAAATGTAGAAATTATAGATTATATCCCATAAAAATCGTAAATTTAGAAATACACATACGTAAATGTGATTTGGTTGAAAAAACTGAAATGGACAAAAACATCGCTTATAGCCTATGAAAATTGTGAATTTTATATACATATTAAACTGCTATTAGGACGAAATAAACGAAAATGGTTAAAAATTATGAACCATAGCTTATGAAATCGCAAATTTTGAATTACACGTGATCAATGTAAAGGACAAATTTTCAAAACCGACTCGTTTGAGTTTTTATTTGTAAAAAACGACCCGTTTCTAGGATATTTGCAAAAACCGACCTTGTTTCAGCCTCAGCGCTGAAACCAGGTCGGTTTTTGAAAAACTTTTTTGAAACTTCACGGGAGTTGAACTCCCGTGAAGTTTAGCAGATTTTTAATTAAGCCACTAAACTTTACGGGAGTTCAACTCCCGTAAAGTTGCAATGTTGAAAAATTCCCACCCCATTTCTCCGCTGGCTCCCCATTCCCCTTCATCTCCCTCCCCAAAACTTTATCCTCCAAAAAAAAAAATGGCGGCCTCCTCTCTCCTGGCCTCCAACTTTATCTCCTCAAACTCAAAAACCCTAAACCTCTCCTCTACTCCCCTCCTCTTCTCCAGCCTCATTACCAACCTACCCTTTTCCTCTAATTTCTCAACCGCCACTGTCAAATCGAGGAAAGGGAGAGGGCTCGATTTTAGGGTTTGTGACGAAGGTATCCTCTGTATCGTCGGATTACGAGGTGGAGGATGAGAAGGCTGTGAGCGGCGACGAAGCGAGCTTCTCGCTGGACCTGAAACTGTTTGTCGGCAACTTGCCGTCTTCGGTGGATAGCGCCAAGCTGTTGGGTTGTTTGATAATGCTGGGAATGTTGAGATGGTTGAGGCATAAAAAACATTATCCTGCATTGGGGAGGGAGATGAAGGAGAACGGGGGGAGTGAGTGGAGAAATGGGGTGGGATTTGACTGAAACTCGAAGTCGCGTGGAGGTTGTGTGAAGAGTTATGAAGCTTCACGGGACTTCAAGTCCCGTGAAGTTTAGGAGCCATTTAAAAATCCGTGAAGTTTCAGAATTTTTTTGTAAAAACCGACCTGTTTTTAGCTCTGGGCTGAAAACAGGTCGGTTTTTACAAATATTTTCAAAAACGGTCGTTTTTTACAAATAAAAACCCAAAAGGGTTGGTTTTGAAAATTTGTCCTCAATGTAAATGGGTTAAAACCAACAAAAGTGGATAAAGGAGAGTTATACTCCACAAAAATCGTAAATTTTGAAGTACACATACTTAATTGTCTTTGAAACTAAACGAACAAAAATGGACAAAAAAATAGGTTGTAACCCACCAAAATCGTAAATCGTGAAATATGCATGCTTAACTACAAATAGGTATAAATTAACAAAAAAGGGAAAAAATCATGGATTATACTTTAAGAAAATTGCAAATTTTGAAGTACACATAATAAAATGTTATTGGCTTGGAATGCACGAATAGGGACAAAAAACTTGGGCTATATAGACTATTAAAATTGCGAGATTTTAAAGTACTCATATAATTGTCATTAGGTCAAAAGGAATGAAAATCACAAAATTTGTGGGTTATAGTCCATGACATGAAGGTCACGAATTTTGAAGTGTGTCTACTTGTCATTCGGTCGAAAGGAATAAAAATGAACAAAAATTATGGGTTTGAGTCCAAGAAATTGGTAAATTTTGAAGCACGCGTACCTAATTGTCATTCGGTCTCAATGAAAACGGACAATATAGCCCATGAAATTCACAAATTTTGAATTAGGCATACTTAATTGTCATCGGGACGGAACGAATAAAAATTGACAAAATCGTGAGTTTATTAGCCCATGAAAATCACAAATTTCTAAGCAAGCATACTTAATTTCAATTGGACCAAAACGAATCAAAATGATGTAGGTTATAGCCCATGACAATAGTAAATTTTGAAGCATAGGGTTGAAATGAACAAAAAATGCACAAAAATTGAAGGTTAATTGAGAAAATCAGAAACTTTGAAGTACGCACGCTTAACTACGATTGGGCAGGAACAAAAATAGGCAAAATCCTGCCCATCCAATGAAAATTGTGAATTTTAAAGTATGCATACTTAATTCAAAAAATAATAGGTTATATAATCCATGAAAATCATGAATTTTGAAGTAGGCATATACTTAATTGTCATTGGGTCAAAATGAAAAACAAAAAGACAAAAATCATGAACTAGAACCCATGAAAATCGTGAATTTTGAAGTACCCATACTCAATTGGCATAAGGTCGAGATGAATGAAAATGAACATAAATTGATTCCAACAAAATCGTGCAGAACCAAAAATCTCCAAAATGAAATAAATTTCCTTCGAGGCTTTTGACTACATCTCATCGGGTTCTTCAAGAAAATGCAGCCAGATTTCTAGTTCTTTTCAGCACTGTTGTCAACTTCTTATTTCTATAAGGAAGTTGATTTTAGTTACCAAAAGAAATTTTTATCAAAAACAACTTGGTTGTGGTGAAGACCCTGCCACTGCACCAAAATCCCGAAGTTGTAATGAGGGTTCAGGGACACTTTCAATACGCTAACATGCCTCCGCAGGTCGAGGGCTAACTTAGACTCATGCAACATTATTTTTTTAATCCCTTTAAATTTGTCGCTAGAAAGATTGGAGCTTGGGTTGCTCAGATACAATATTAAAGACCCCACTAATATTTATACTCTTTAACAGTTATATAGTTAAGAAGCATAAACAACACTCACCTGATAAATAAAATAATATTTGTATCCAGTGGAACAGTATATATAATATGATCATAAACTTAATTAAACAATTATACATAGCTTGGAGCCTAAAAGATATATGATAGGTAAACCTTCAAAATCTTTGCGACGGTCAAATACTGGACATAAGAAACCTCTAAAGACTACTATTTGTAAAGAATACACAATCTTCACACAGAATTTTATCGAGTAAATGAAGCAATGATCAGGTTACTTACTGCAGAGGTAGACTAGCTCCAAGATTCTGATAGCGATTGCAGTCATCAGCAGATGATCCATAATGATTTTGGCGCTGTTGATTCAGTTGCAAGTGGAGCTCCGCAACCTTCTGCTTCAGTCTCGCTACATCTGCTTCAGCAAGGGCAATCTCCTCTAGCTCTTCCCTTGTCTTCAGAATATGTACCAAGTCAGCTTGAGTAATGTTATCAAATATATTCTACTTTTGCATATGTGAAGAGAAAATTTTTAGACCTTAGAATCCATACTGCGAGAGCTTGAGAGCTGTCCAGATGATATGCTTAAGCCAACTTCCAGAGCAGCCCTAAGTTCTCTCTCAGCTTGCAGTTGTTCTTGTAGTCTTGAGACCTAGGAAGTTCAGCTAACTGATAAAAAAGTTATGGAAAAAGTATGTTGCCTAGCCATAAAAGTTCAATTAATAACCTCAACATAATACAGAACTACATATTAAATTCATGCCACATGCATTTTCAGATTTGGCGGCTTATAAAGCAAATTCCAACAAGCCATAACTGATAAAAACAAAGATAAAAAACTCAATTAAAGTTGGTGACGTTCTAATTGTGGGTTTTAAAGGCAAGTGTGCAAGTTGTGAGCAAATATGACCCGTGATTCAAGTAATATCCTGAGCAAACAAGAATGCAACTAGGCGAGATGTAGTAGACAAGAACCCATGTGTCTGAATATTAATACTGAATAAGTACAACACAGTATGTACTCTATAAATTGAATACGAGTATCGTATTCAGAAAGGTCATAAATTATCAAAATAGGAGAGCCACAGTTTGCATAAAACATGATACAATTTGGATATAATATAATGAAATCCATGTAGCTAGTGAAGCATAAAAGCAGATGATTCTTTTCTGTATCCATTTTGACCTTGTCTTTCATTTATTTACAACAAAATGACACTGAAAAAGAATACGAGTTTGGAAAGATAATAGTAGAAGGGAAGGTTCTAAATCTTGGTTCAAACAAAAATCAATCAGGTTCTTGAAATCAAAGCCATGGGTCTCAGTATCTAATATGATATAAGTAATTAAACCAATATGACTATATTTTAGTATATCTCGAAAAGTTAGGATCTGTCTACAATGCAAGTCTATAAAGTCTCACTTCATACTCAGTAACAGAATTTCAAACTTTGCATAGAAGAAAACACAGCAATGATATATTACATTTTAATTCAGAAAATATTAGATTACATTTTATGAATAGCAGGAACTGTACCCTATTTTTAATAATCACCATGTAGATTGTTATCATATCTTTTATTGTAGATTATCTATTTGTTTCTATGTGCATGCATGGTATTCAAACAAGTAAAACAAAATGCATTACAAAAATAGAGGCTTCCATAGTAGTCCAGGAAAATATTTACATCTTGTTCCAATGCTAAGCGACGCTCATGCAAAGCCTGCTTTCTTCTCTCCAAACTTGCTTGCAGAATGGCATTTCCTTTTGCCTGAGTATATGCATCTGTGTAAGTAAAATATTCAACCAATTCTGCAGTACTAAATTATATAAGCTCTAAGATAATTTCATCATCATACCTCTTTTGCAATTCGCATCCGGAGGTCATTCTTTGTGATCTCAAGCCTTTGAATAGCAAGCCTAAATATAACAATTATAATAATTTGGATAATTCTCCATGATGTACATTTATACCGATTTTAACGAGTATTTGAATGTCCTCAATAAAGAAACAAGTCAAAAACATTGAGATAGATCGATAAAATATAAATTTATACAAGTGAGGAAATTAATCAGAAAATCAAGAATCAGTGACTCAATTATGGCTAAGTTTCAAAAAACTAAGCAGTAAAATCTAGAAACTCCTGGAGTAAACTAAAAAAAGACATTTTAAAAAAGAACAATTTTTCAAAACCGACCGAATTTTTTTTTTTTCAAAATCGACCGTTTTTTTTTATTTATCAAAATCGACCCGGTTTTGTGATTAGCAGGTTAATCACTATCCTAAATAGTCGGGGTTGCCAACCCCGGCTATTTAGGAGGGTGTTAAACCCTAATTAAAGGGTGATTAACAGGTTAATCACTATCCTAAATAGTCGGGGTTGCCAACCCCGACTGCCAACCCCGACTATTTAGGATAGTGATTAGCCTGCTAATCACAAAACCGGGTCGATTTTGATAAATAAAAAAAACAGTCGATTTTGAAAAAAAAAATCAGCCGGTTTTGAAAAATTGTTCTTTAAAAAAACAATATGACAAAGTGAATGGCCATAATGAATTCATTGTATTGGTCTCAGCTGTAACAGTTGTACACTCACACGCTGTGAAAGATACAACTGAATGTAAAATGGGTAATGCTGAAAACAATTGACATGAGTTTACATTGTGCAAGTATCTCTATAATCTTAAAAGGGACAGCAGAGTCTAGTTAAATGTCAAATCTACCCAAGCTTGCATACTCCTTGTTATAAAATGGGGAAAAAGGATAAAGGAACACTTTATATTTCATATGAATTTGTGGTTGTATATTATATTTTCTAACTTCTTCGGGTGATTAACTTCTTGGTTCTGTCCGAAATATTTAAGAAATTCTGGAGCAAGTTCCTGCAATCTTAATAAAAGTTTGTTTGTCTGAAAGCTCCCATTAAAGTGAAGATCTATAAGAAATCTACCATTGATAACAACTATCAAGCAAGTTTTCTTTTGCTGTCAGATATCACTATTAAATTAAGAATGAAACGAACTTTTACGACTACTGTCAAAAGAAATATACATATATAAACCGGACCCCTAGTTGAAGGCATCTAATTTGTCCACTAGTTGACAGTAGCCTTCCCAATCTCTCACATTTTAGGTTTTACTTCCTTGCAGACACCAGTAGAAAGTAGAAACAGAAAGTTGAGAACACTTCTGATTGTTCAGCAGAAATTCCGATCAGAAACCAACAGTTATATGAAGCAATGTTTAAGTATGAACTGTGTCAAGCATAGGTGCTAAGTAGTTTATCAAGACATCAATCAACAAATGAAGCATACAGTCTTTGCTACTTTGAGAAGGATTCCGAGGAAATTCTTTCCATTTAAATTTAATGACAGAACAACGAAATTCAAAATACACTTGGTTCAGGTCAATTTACATCCTAAACATCAAAATCTAATATCTTAAGTTTTTTTCCGCATGTACTAATTAGCAAACAAAAGTGCCATGTTAATTAGACCAATGTTCTGGAGCATAGAGCTTTCCAAAAATTAACCAAGACTTGAACACTTTAAAACCCCTTTACATTGGTAACATGTTAAGTTAGATATGTGTGGACAGTTCAGGAGTAACAAGGAGATGCTTTTTTCATCATAAGCAATTGCACAGTCAACCTATCCATATGAAAATACATTGAATTATATTATACAAACTATTTCATTCAGATAAAATTTAAAATAAATGTTGATATGTATAAGTTTGTTACTTCTTTCACCATGCTATCTTAACCTGCAGGATGTAATCCATAGAAACCACAAAAAATAAATGAGAAAAGAAGATGCAAAGATAGAACTGCAAGGCCAAGAATTAAGCAATTGAAACATGATTCAGTAACCAAAATATCTAAGGGAAGTAATAAAGAACTTACTCTTCTTCACCAGATGAGTTAACTGATTCTACTGACTGATTCTTTTTAACCTACAAAGTAAAAATGTATCAGGAAGGCAGTACTCAACTACTTAAAGCAAACAAATGTCATTTCTTATTACAGTTAAACTAAGAACATTTTATTTTGAATAAGAACATTTTATTTTGACGAAGAGTCAAAAGGAGACGAATCCATAGGATATTACAAATCAGCTAAAACCTAAAAGCATTTAAAGATTTGAAATCATGTTTATTAGTAGCATGGAAAATATTTTAAAAAAGATGTAATTCAGAAAATATGAACAAGTGAAACCACATGGTCGTTATTTAAACAGAATAAATAAAAAAGAACAAATAGATTTTAAACAGAATCACACACAAAAAGAAAGCAAGAGTTTATAATAACAATATCATGCGTTGTTAAGATTAAATTTAAGAGCTGCACAAGCAATGCATCAAAAGAAACTGAAACTCACATTGTTGCGCCCCCAAAAATTGTTGCGCTTTACATGGCTATTTGATCCATTAACTCTATTTTGGTTTTTCTCAGCACGGTATTCATTTACATTAGATGTAAAAGAGACACTATCCAAGGAGGACAGGATCTCTCCCATTGATAGTGTAGACTCCCGCACAGGTAAAGCACTAGAAGTGTCCTTCTCCCTCAATGAGTTCTCATGATTTGTGTTCGTCAAACCATTTCCACTATATTGGGGTTGTGAACTTATATCAGGTTCAATATTTTTCTCCGAAGCATGAATATCTTTAGGAGATTCAGCACCTGAATCATTACCAGCGAAAACCTGTATTTTAAGAATAACATCAGTACATATTAAGAAACCAAGAACAAACAAGCAAACCGAAAAGATTCAGCTACCTGGTTCACTACATGAAAAAGACAAGAGAATGTTCTGGAGAGATGTAATAATAAATATAGGAACATGATCAGCTGCACTACATGTGACCTTTCTTAAATTAGCTCAAAGAAATGCATACAGCTTTATGTCTGGTTAACTGAAACACCAGGTGTTCAGGTATCAAAAACTTGACAAGCATTTGTTAAAGATAATTAATACATTGATATAATGAGTTGCCTCACGAATTTTGAAGCACTACATGTACAGAATGGTAGAACTAGCATGCGCATTGAACAAGGCACTGTGAGATAAAGGTCATCTGACAAAGTAGTTTGATATCTTAGCCTACCTGAAGAAGGGGAAACATTTTAATTTGTCTCTATAAATATAATAGATTTAATACTAACGCTTCGTATGTGTAAACTGTAAAAGCATGAAATATTACCAGAAGGGCATTTAGAATTTGGTAACAATTACAATGCATATACACTGTGTTATCAGTAGCATATAAAAAAATGAAAATTTTGGCAAGTTCATCAGGCTTTAGTCTGAGAAACGTTTGGTTCCACTATTTTCACTTAAATAAGAAAATCAGAACCAAAACAAAAGTACCGTGATAACACATAATCATCTTTTTCCCCCTCTTTAACACTTTCCCCACTATTACCCAACCACCCCAAAAAATGCTTACTTCGTTAACATGTCTACCCACTGCCATCCAAAGTGGTCACGTGCCAATCAAATTAACATTTTAATCACAAAATGCCCATGTTCTTATAACTATGCCCTTAAATTTTAAAAGGAACAAATTACTAAAAATAATAATGATTGAAATCAAATGAGATTTATTAGTAAACCCTATAACTAACATCAAGCTTACCTGATTATAACAGAAAATATCAAGAGGAAAAGGAGAAACACCAATTTGTATAAAAACATTACCTAGTCTATGAGAAGAGAAAATAGGCCGTGTGCCAGTCAAATGAACATCTTAATCATAAAATGCCCTTGTTCTTATAATCATAGTTGGAAAAAACTCGTCATGTTGCGTTACGCAACCTAACAGACCCTAAATGTTACTTAACCCTATGAAATAACTTAGCGACATCGTAACTGTACGTCATTATAATAAAATGTGTTATCTCAATATAACTTACGTTATCTCAATATAACATGCATTATTTCAAGATACATGTATAAAATATGCTATTTCAATATAAGTTCTAGGGACTTCTCAAAACTTGAAGTAGTTAAGTAATTACTTTTGAATTGTTTGTTAAGCCCTCCTGTCTTGTTTCGACGACATCATTATGTGATCGTGAAATTATGAATATGACTAATAAAACGAATATACTTCTGAAAGAGCTATAAATTTATGATTATATATTTGGGTATTTGATTGTGATACTTCCTAGTGAATCCATATGGCCTATATTAAAATAAAAAATAATTATTAAAAATATTTTTGTATTATAAACCTATGATATTTTGTTCCAAATTCTTAAATATATTATGAACATCTTTTATATACTTTTAAATTAAACAGTAAGAAAATAGTTTGTCCGCAAGTACGATGTTATGTTTGAAAATTATGATGATTCTAAATATTAAAGTCATTATGAATAGTTTGTATTTGTAAAATATGTAAATAATTTATAAACAAAATAATCTAAGATATGTGTTATGTTTTTCTTTCCTTTAATTCTTAATAGGAGGTGGAACGTAATGTTATGCGTTACCGTTATTTTCAACATTGTTATAACTATACCCCTAAATTTCAAAAGGAACTAAAAAAACTAATGATTGAAATCAAATGAGATCTATTATTAAACCCAACAACTACCATCAAGATTACCTGATTATAACAGAAAATATCAAGCTGAAGTAAGAAGAAATATCAATTTGAATGAAAATGTTACCTAATCTGTGAGAACTGAGAAGGAAAATAGAGCACACACTTCCATTCATACATCTATTAGAAGATTGATATTGTTAAGTTGTTAGAATTAGCAGAATATGGGATGAAAGTTGCAAGAGTGAAATTAATAAGTGCAGGAAGATACATGTAGGATAGGTATAAACCAGTTGTACTAGCACTGTACTGGTGAATAATGAATATATGCCTAATGAAAGGAAGTTATCTCTGAGGTACTGTGTTATTCCAACTATTAAAAAATCCAAGTGCCAGCAACAATTGTGAAGCATCGGCTTTTATTCTTATTACAAGAACATGTCGGACATAAGATGAACTAACCAATTTCTGTCAATTTTGTTAACTTGGTTTAATGCACAAGGTAATTGATTATGGTCAGTCAGCCTAAATAGGTCTCAAAATAGTATACAAATATTAGATCACCTTTGGTTAATACACAAAGGAAGTAAATGAGCCCCAAAAAATTCCGCTAGGTGCAAAAGTTTTTTAAAAATGTAAATATAATTTCCATAAACTGTGGGTTATGGTTTCCACGGTGACAGTCAAGAGAAAAAACAAATAGCAGCTGAAAATTAAAAGAAAATACTTTCATAGAGCCATATGAGAGATGATGAAACCTACTTGAGAAAATAGAAGGCTTAGATTCATATTTAATTTAAAAATATGAATGGAACAGATCAAAAATAGTTTTAAATTTATGGGAGATGGATAAATAGAAACCTTGTAGTCATAAAGGTCACTGCCAGCAGATCCACTGCTTTCGCTCATTTTTGCACTAAGTACACGTTCTGGATCGTCACCTGTTTCCATGTCCATGTCTATGTCATTCTCTATGTCATGATATCCATTTTCATCGGCTTCTGATTTGTCATCATCTGTTGATTCCTCACTACCAGTCCCGTCGGATTGAGAATCGGGTGAAAAAGAGCATCTATGTAGAGTATCGTCCTGCGAAGGAAAACATCAAGGAATGCATAACACTCAGTAAACTGAATCAACAATTTCCATAGAACATTACTGGGAATAAAGTAGTGACATCAAAGGCTATATGGATAAATGAACCTTTTCCTGTAAATAATGCAACCAGCCAGCAACAGAACCATCTTTCGTAAGGATGAGAGCTAAAAGCCTTGTTTCTTAGATTTCATATGATTGTCGTCGCTCTACTACACCATTAGCACATTTTCTCTAGTAGATTTCCCCCAAATTCTCAATTCTACACTATGAAATATGTAATGGCACAAGCTTCCATCCAACACCAATGGCAGTGGTTAATCTACAGGTTATTGAAGACAGAGATACTTGTATTTACTACACTATCACCGTTTTCTGATATAGGTTCTTTTATCCATGTAAATAGATACTTCCACTCTTAAAAGATTTCTTACATTTATGCATACTTCTCTCATCAATGCAAAACTATCACAACCATGTCTCCGTTACTTGTTATCACCCTTCTTTTAGGCTAAAAAAGTGAGATAATTAGCCGCTACTTGTAGTCATTATATTTGTCACAATGTCGCTTTTTATCACACTTCACTTCCCTATTGCTTGACAACACTTTTTTGTCATATAAAAATGTGAAATACTTACAGGACTCTGCAGTGGATTCTAAACTATGGTGCTTCTTAGAAGGGATTGAACTCTTGGAACTAAAAGATGCAAATCTTAGCCAAGCATTAAACTAAAGCCATATACTTTGAACAATTTTAAATATACCATCAAAAGAAGATTTAACCATTTGTATTGTAATAGCAGATACATCGCCCATAAAAATGATGGCCAGCAAATTTTCTGAGTTATTAACATTAATAATCTAGGATGAAAAAGAATCTCTGACTTGAGCAGACAACATAACAATTAAAGTGTAGCTAAACTTTTGGAAACTCGTTCCTTTCATATCAAGTTCATCTTTTTCTAGGCGATTTATAAGCCTAATTGAACCTTAACCATCTGAATTCAAATGTAATCCAGACTAACACTAGATAATGTGTGATATTTTGAGTAACAGGTCCAACACCCTAATACGAGAAGCTGTCTCAATTATTTATATGAAGTCCAACGTGTCCCATGTCCAACAACAGAATATGTCTCACATAATCTGTGTGAAATTCAACCAAGGTATAAAACAATCTGCATAGTTCAAACTATTTTGTTCAGTAAAAATAAACAATTAAAGTGTCAGTGGCGAGAACCTTACATCAAATATATTCTCGTATTCCTCTAAGAGAGTTGTGATGATCGCCTGAGCATTATTGGCAGCATTTGCAGCAGCCAGAAGCTGAGCAGAGCTATCATCGTTCAAATCAAAATTATCCTCTAGCTCACATTCACCTGCCAATAGTGGTCGCAGTAACAAAGGTGCCATACATGCAGCAACAGCAGATGCTGTCATCCGATTTTCAGCAGTATGTGCAGCAATTGTGTGCATCATCTTCAATATCCTGAGGTTGAAAGAATGAAATAAAGGTCGTAAAGAATATTATAAACTTATGAAAGAAACCGAACATACTAACAAAAAAAATAACCAATAAGGAGGAGTTGACCAACTTGAAACCATGCATACTCAAAAGGTCGAATAAAAACAAGACAATCTGGAGGCTATTGAAGATAAGCTTATAAAAGAATCAGGAAAATGTTCTTTTTCTATTTGAAAACAAGCAATCCAAAACATGGGTCTCTTGTTTCCAAAAGTCAGTTGTAACTCAAGACTTGAGATGTTCAGAGATTGAGGAGAAAACAACTCTAGAAGACTAGACAATTTTATATAATCTTTGAAAACATAAAAAAACGACAGCAAAAAGATACGCTTAAAATGATAGCTATAAACAATGATTTAAATTTTAAAAGCATAAGGAAAACATACCTAGACTCACATACATAAACTAGAACGATAAAATGATATCACATAGAAGGACAAAGGATTATCTAGAAATATTACTAAACTAGAAATATAACCTCTGAAGCAAACGACGATTTGGTTCTGGGAATGTCTCTAATACTGCAGAGCGCATGGCATTCACTCGAGCTTCCTTGTGTTCCAATCCTTATCATAAAAAAAAGCAAATAAATAAATCCAGCTTCAAATTTTTGGACAAGAAAGATAGTGAAATGAAGAACTTAAAAGGATGAAAACTTACTTAAAAAGGATGATTAGTTACCTCTGACAAACAAATCTAACTTCAAATTTTTATACAAGAAAAAAAGTGAAATGGAGTACTTAGAAGGATGATTAGTTACCTCTAACAAACAAATCTAACTTCAAATTTTTATACAAGAAAGACAGTGAAATAAAGTACTTAAAAGGATGATTAGTTACCTCCGATAATTTCAAGAAAGTTAAAATGTCGTAACAAATGACAGGCAAAAACCAGGAGAAAATGGTAATGCAGGTGAAGTTAGATTAATACTTCTTTTAGTAACAATAAAATGTACAGGTTGCAGACTTTATGTGAGCTATAACAGAAGAACTAGTAAGGATAACACAAAATAGCTACAGGTTGCAGTGAGTTAGCAAAAAAGTTGGTCACTGCTGAGAAGGATTATTTATTAGTTTGTTGTGCTCATTGTTTCCAAAAAAATCACAGTAGCATGCCCATAGTTTTCATGTTCATCGTCAACAATGTACAGAAAATATTGAAATAGATGATCAGTATCTCTGATAGCTTCAACAAAGGGCAAAAATAATTAGCTGGCAGAGATTAAGGCAAAAAGGTAACTTTGACAAAATTGCTGGTCTTTTATTTTTCAACAACAATGAAAAAATACAAGTTATAACAGAACTAGCAAGGATAACGTAAAAACTGTTATAGGTTGCAGTAAGTTATCAAAACAGCTGCTAACTGTTAATGTAGTTGATACCCAGAGTAAAAAATGTGCCATGGAAAATATGACATCATTTCAGTAAGAAGCACAATAAAAACCAATAGAGGTAAGATGGCCTACTATATGCTTCTAGTAATGCTGTACAGCAGGATGCAGGAACTGGAGATGATGGAAGCTCCCGAAGAACATGCTGAAGGAAAAAGTTCCACATGTCAGCATTCACAAAGATAATTTCAAGCAAAAGATGGAGGTTTGCAACTTGTCAGGAATTATTAAAAAATAAAGACCTTAATACAGTCACCAATAACGTGGGCATCCTCATCTGATGTGAATTCAGTCATTCCTGGTAAAATTAGGAAAATAATCTTTGGTTACAGCAGTACTGAAGTTAAAGAACCTCGAAGAATGTTAAGACAAATGAACATCAAGATGTTTGAAGAATTCAAGAGTTTAAAACTACTTAAACTTTCTTCTAAAGAATTGATACAGAAGAAGAAAAAACTGAAGACTTTTTTGCAACCTTGCTCGTATTCTCGTACTCTCCTATCAACCTCCTCAACATCAGCTGATTGTCGCAAGATTCCTTCTACTTTTATTCCTGTTGTAGATTGGTCACGGTGCTTATTAGTTCACTTTTAAGAGCACACATACAAAAGTCAGAAGTTTCTAATCATGCAGTTAGGCCTACTTTATAAAGTGCAACAGTTATAAAATGATTGACTCAAAAAGATATAACAGAAAAGTAGGAAACATAATGCTGAACATTGTGGAGTGTGTCACCCATTCATTCGGTTAAAGTGTGGTATTTGGTTTGGGAAAGGCATAAGGGTAGGATTTTCCCACATCGGATAGAAAGCAAGGTGGATAAATGGTTAAACATGCTTGAACTCATGACCCAAATAGGATTAATCCTTTTTTAGTCAGCCTAGTCCATCTCCATAATGGGTCTTCCAAACCGTAACAAACATAACTTTAAACTAGCAACTATAACCACTTGGAAAAGGACAGTGTACCGAGGTCAAACATGCCACAAAATATAAATTAAGGATTTCACTATTCTAGTATTGTCTTATACTCAATGAAGTTGAAGTATTTGTTAGCAACTTAACGCATAAGATATAAGAAGATGCATTAATCAATTACATACTCTTGGGACACTTTAACAACTTCACGCTCAAAATACCCTTGCATGCTATAGAACAAACCGACTCCAAAATACCATCTGGACTACAAAGATGTGAAAGAAGTTACCTTTCGGCTTTCCTCAATCACACTAAAAGAACTGACAAGGAGTAATGACCAATTTCTCTCAAATATGAGCAAGAGAAACGTTAATTTCTAAAGAAAAAGAAAGGAAAAAATTAAGAAAAAGAAAGGGCAAAAAATTATCTCTCCCTAGAATTTTCTCTGAAAGTTTTTAAACACTCTTCCATGTAAAACATTTTCACTAGCTGACTGCTGGGCTTTACAGCAAGTTTTCTTTGCTGGAAATGCGACCATATGCAGAAGTACGATAGTATAAATATTTTATGCCATGGAAATAAATATGATGGTTCCACAATGCTGGAATGTAAGTTAGATAATCAATATATGGTATCTAGAACTTTGTTCAAGATCTGCATAGTCAAAAATAAATTAAATCAACGGAAACAAGTGTCAGGGGCTATTGAAGATAATTTAATGTGTTGCAAGTAGAAAGTCAATGCGACAAACTGATTTAACTCAATCAATATGAAATATAAGGCTTTCAGAATATTTAAAAGAATTCCTTCAAGTTAGATGACACGCATGAATATTATGCAGTGTTAAAATATTGTTTACCCAGGAAAAGGGAAAATTAAAGCTCCATACTAGAGGCAGGTAATTATCATATGATTATATAATTACCTATTTGTGCATATATACTCACATTTATTTACTAAGTTAATTTGCGGTAAAAGTGACCTGTCAGCCTACAGCATGGAAAAGTAATATCCAAGCATCCAATGAAAACAAAAGGAAGTTCTACTCAGCAAATTCCATCTGGAAGAGACATGTTTTAGGGAAACAAGGGCACAAAATATCAGGAGCACGGACATTCAGACATTACACTAAGAGCTTACCATATTTCTCCAAAAAGCGTAATGCTTTTTCAAGGAAGGAAGGTCCCCCATCAATGTCTTCAAGTGCAAGCAATATTGGTCTACCAACAACTAAGGACTTGATGGGGCGCTTGTTTCTCCCTATATAAATGCATATATAATCGATGAAATCAACAAATTAGACACTATATAAAAAACTAAATGTTACATAACATTTCATGTCTCATGCACCATAGATAAAATAATTGGAAACCATGAGGTACATACAAGCCTGTGTTGATCCTTCAAAAGTATCAGCATTGTCATTCCGAAATACTCCATTATGTCCCATCACAAGTGCAGCATTTGGAGCTTGTGCAAGGGCAAGTTCTAGTGCTGCTTTCCATTCAAATAGATCCTCTGATGTCTCTGCCTGATACATACATAGAAAATACTTAAACAACAACAAAGTGTTATATAACAAGAAAAAAGGAGAAAGCATGAAAATGTTTGCTCTCCTCCTACAGTAAAGCTGAATGTGTAAAAGTCAGAAGTATAATAAAACACCTTTAGGGTGAATGCACGCCCATCACGGCCATCAGGAAATAGAACAGTCAACAACTTCTTATCTTCTCTAACCACCACGCTGCAAATAGCAATTGCAAATCATATGTACTATGTAGTATATTCTATCAACATAAAGGGATTGGTTTGCATAAAATTACAACTGCAACTGCAGTTACAATTTGCAAAATGAAGTTTACAGTTGTTCCTTTTGCTGAAAACTGCCTGCTATGGAAATTACAAATGCAACTAGTTTCTGCAATTCGCAAATGCAGTTGCAGTTGCAATTTAATGCATACCAAATGGCCCCAAATGAAAAATAATTACACAGCTCTAGTGTTAGAACAGAGTACGTACCTCCCAGAATTATTTAAGTCAATGCCCCCAAGAGTCAGATTAACTTCACCACCTCTTTGTGGCAATGCACCCTACAAAAAATCAAGTAAAAATCAGTACCTTCTCCTAGGCTTATCTGGAACATTTTATTGGACATCCTGAATATGATAATAAAAAATAGTAAAGGGCAACAAAAATAGTTGGATGCTTGACAGACAAGAAACTGACACAAAACACAAGGAACCAAACCAGTAGTTAAAATTGATTAGAGTATCAACCTAGAATATGTTCAGTGTTGAAAGCAGCTTTCCTGAGCTTCTCTGACCTAGCCTTTTTTTAATCAATTAAAATGTGAGCAACCTCCTCAACTAACTGGACAGTATACCTCATCAGCTTGAAATAGCACCAATGCTTTAATATGTTGCTAACCAGCTGTCTATTTAAGACCAGTAAGAAAGAAGTTTAAACCACTGAGTCACTGACACTCTTTTCATTTTTTTTAAAGGCTTAATTGCACTTAAATACCCTATAGTTTCACCTATTTTGAACATATATACTCCTAGTTGTATCCGGCTGCACTTAGATAGCCTAAAGTTTCTTAATTTTGCTTTAGTACCCTCGGTAATGTAAACTACAGAATTTCCCCCTGAAAATTCTCTAGCGACACTCACATGCTAATTTTAAAACCTTTTAACTCTTACTATTTGTTAAATTTTCTGTTACACCTATCAAAATCCTATTTTAAGATAGAATTAGGATAGGTTTAGAATAGGATATAATAGGTTTAATAGTGGATTTAACAACAAATCACATGCAATTATTTAACTTGATTTAAGCTACTAATACAACATTAACAGAAAAGATTTCACGGTCTACAACAGTACAAAAGCTCGATGTAGTAGGATTAATGCATGACACAATTTCAAACACTTCCTATTAAACATAAGTGCTCATTGGTGATGGTAAGTTGGGTATCAACCAGATATTGAAGAGACAAAAATATTTCCATAATATATATACTTGATCTAAACTCCAGCATTTCATATCCTATCTTTCTAATTAAAGTTTCCCATCCCCACCTCCCAATAATGAATGACTTCCAAAATTAAATACTCTGCAGAATTAGCCAATAATTACATAAGTAATACATGGAAAATTATGGAGACAAAAAATAGTGCTCAAATAACTTAATTAATCCACTAGAACTACTCGTTCATAATGGACAATACTGACTGGATCATTTTTGAAGAAAACCAAAGAGGTGCGGGTGAGGATGAACCAGCGCTTCTTCCACGACTTCCAACCAATTCCTAAAGATCAACATGAGGAATAGAATTAGCATTAATAGAGCACCAAAAGGAAAAGGAAAAAAGCATGGCATTCATTCTCCTCTTGCTTAGTGAGTTAAGCCAGCAGCAGTATAAAGATGAAGATATGAAAGCATAGAAGTCTGTTTTCACAAATCCAAACAAGATTACAAGATATAAAAAGTGGAATAACAGGCGATAGCTTCCTAAAAGTTATAAACTAACCTTTGGATGAAATGAAAAGTGGTCCGCTCTTGAACACCTGCAGAGCAAGTTGGAAAGTTTACGTTAAATAGACCATTTAAGATATATAACCCTCAACTTGATATATTCTTTCGTACTTTTAGCAAATATAAACATATTTAAACCTAAACTTGCTAAATATCCAGAATGACAAATTAAGGCGATAAATTACCCCTTAGGCCATGTTTCTTAGACAAACTGTTCTAGGGTCATCTTGTTAAAAATGTAGTGCATCACTTATTTCTGCCTTCCACTTAACAAATTTAAAAGACTGGTCAATCTGCTAGATATGGGAAGACAAATGCCGTCCTAACTTAACCTTTCAATGCAATGGAACCTATAGTCAACAAAATTAACACAACTCCTCACTTCTGATATTCCTGCATCCATCTTAAGGACAGACTTCTTTTCACTATAACCTCACCGAAGCAACATTCTTGCCACAACTCTACACCAGCTAATTCAGTAAATATGTAATCTTTCGTTCACCAAATTCTCATTTATTACTGCTCTTTAGTTCAATAAGCAATGTACTTCTGTCAGTTCTCAGGAAAACCCTAACATGATCATATCAGACGTATCGAGCTAGACTCACTAATTTAACCTCTCTATACTCAATCTCTTAATTCAATTCCAACTTGCTATACAACACAAATTAGAAAAAGACATCCATCTCAAAAAATCATTCCATAGACAAACTCTAGTAGGAACTCCATGTTACAAATATAGTGCATCACTAACTTCGGTCTTCTACTTCCATATACAACATACTTTTATTGTTCCCACAGATGCATTTAACCAAATCCGAAAGGGTATTCAATTTGCAAGAGGAAATGTATCATCTTAGCTTAGTCTTTTCAATGTGATGCACACTAGCTACGGAACATAACACAATATTATTATTTCTACATCCCCTCACCCATCTGAATGCCAGATAGTCAGCAACTAGAAACTCAAGCACTATTCTCGCCAACTTTGCACCAGCTAATTCGGTAGATCTATAACTTTTCATTCAGGTACATATTTTCCATTTATTGTTGCTTTCTAGTTGCGTATACAATGTACTTCTATGACTTATCCAAAAAAACCTAACGTGGCTGTATCATACTACTCCACATATTAACATGCTCTCTATACTCGAGCTTCCAATGTGATTCAAACTAGCCAAACAAAAGAAACTATAAAAACATTCATCTCCAATTCGTCCAAAGAAATATTATTACTAATATCCACTCAATGCACTCATCAATCTCAAGACCGCATTTTCCGCAACTCTTGAGGGTGTTTAGGGAGGCTTATCTGTTTGGTCAAAGGGGCTTTTAAGCTGGCTTTTCTCTACCTACCTGTTCATTAACATCCCAATAAGCTAGATTTTAAAAAGCAAGGATTCCACAATTTTGAAAAACTAGCTTATCATCTTACCTAAATAAAATAAGATCGAGCAAGCAAATTATTATTCTACTCGAGAGCTAAACATAGTTTAAAAAAACCAACCACCACCAAAAGCTAACATAGCTTAAAAGCTTTTAAAAATAATCTCACCCTCATAATCTCACCGAAGCTACGTTCTCGCTCTACACCAGCTAATTCAGTAAATGGATAATCTTTTAGTCACCAAAAATATCCTCATTTATCGCTTTTTTCTAAAGGAAACTCTCATTTATTGCTATTCTCTATGTCGATATCCAATGTACTTCCACTCCTCCTCCGGACACCCCTAACCCGACCATATCAGACAGTATCAAACTAGATTCACTTATTTACATCTTCGCCGTGGTCAATCTACCAATGCCATTCGCACAAAACAAAGTAAAAGAAACATCTTTCATCACAAACGATCCTTCGGTCGAGATCTAACCCAGTATGAGATAATGCAAAGTCCGAAGCCGGAGCAGACGACATCTCCGAGCATCAGATCAACGCCAGATCACCAAATCGAGACCTCCAGATTCGACCGAAACTGATCAGAGGGTAGTTAAGTTTGATCTACAGTTAAAATGCGCGGTCAATGTGGGAAATTTTTGTGGTCGGGAGATTAGGCTAGGGTTTGGGGGGGAAGAAAGGGGGGGTGAAGAGAGAGAGAGAGAGAGATGGTTGAGAAAAAGACAGTTGCACAGCTTGGCTTCTTTAGAAAGACACAGCCGAGGGGGCGATGGAGGAGCAGCGAGGGATTAGGTGAAAAAGAAGAGGGGAGTAAAACTAAAGGGTTTTTATTCAACAAAAAATCCTTTCATATTTTCACTTTAGACCCTCAAATATTTACACTTTGGCTTGGACTCTAAATAAAACCCTTTAAATTGTTTAAAATTACATTACTAGGTGAACTTTCAATTTACCTTTATATATATGTTCTTGATTATGGTTTTCGCTGAGAAAAAGAATGGGGCCTCAGTCGCATATAAGGTGATTATGGTATGTTAGTGTAACTTTTATTCTCTTATACTCATTCTTTCTTTCCTAAACAAATTTTCTCACCCGTCTCTTCTTTTTTCAAGCATGTTTTTATCAATCAATGGATTTGAGTACGAGTGACACGTGGAGAGATTGTTTAGAGAGGAGAAAGACCGAGTGAAGGAATTAAAAACAATGAGGTACACTAATTTCAAGAGTATTAAAGTAAACTATTATCACGGATAAAGCTTTAACCTTATTATACTAGTAGATTTGGATAAAAAGTTACTTGAAGGTGTAATTTAAATTAATTAAAAAACATGGAGCGTAAAATAAAAATCATGAAATAAAGCTTGGAGTATAAATCCGAAATTAATTTGGACGTTAAAAAATTTAAGTTTGCTGTAGCAGGCCGAAGTGACTACGGTCGACGCTCCTTTATTTAATCTTCACGACTCACGGGCGACTTTTCGAACTAATCTCCGACGTGGCAGGTCACGTTGTGGTTTGGTTGGGGGTGAGAATATAATTAAAAAAGGGCCTATGCTTTTTTTTGCCGCGGTGTGGAGTTTGTCGCGGACCGCACAAGAAAAGGGAGAAAGGGCCCCACGTACGCATTCGGGTGTGGACGAATGTTTGGTCTTTGAGTGATGCTACAGGGACCCAAACGAGGGGACCCTGTAGGGGACAGGTGAGGTGTCAAGCCCTCACTGCGTGTTGCACTGTTCATGAACAGTGCAACACCCAGTGAGGACTTGACACCTCACATGTCCCCTTATTTGGGGTCCCTGGGGAGTTTTCCTTGGTCTTTTCCTTCTTCTTCTCCTTTTCTCGTTTTTCTCATTTTTTGTTTTATTTTATTTTGTAGCTAAATTAAATTTATAAAAAGATTCATAAGAAAGAGTGATATTTGGGAACCGCTGGTGATTCGGATGGTTGGGAGTTCCTAATATAACTACCAAACCTTAGGTCCGATCCTCATATTGAATGAATAAATAAGTAAAAGAGAAAAATACATATGTGTATAACTAAAAACTAATTGCTATTTTAAAGTTTATCCCTCGATCCTCGTAGTTACCCTCAATTTTAAACCACCAAGTAATACTTTTCATCTCTTAGATGGGAAGACCTATGAGATCAAAATATGACATTTTTGCACCTTTGTTGATATGATCAAATGAATGTCCCCAATTTATATTACAAAAATGTCGAAAGTTAAATGCTTGTATGCTCCACTTAGACGTGATGTTGAGCGAGGGCAGCAGACTTAATGGGCTTTGTGCCGTGAGTCATCATTGATCAATGTTTGTACAAATGGAAATACGCTCTTATTTATGAGAGAATTATTTGCATTGTTGTCATATAATAAACTATTGTTCTAATTATCCACAACTTATAATTGTACTGAGATTGTGATATCGTTGGAATCATATCTTATTCTTACAACATGGAATCAAATATGTGGTATAGTTGGACCTTTTCTGTGCTTATCAAAGTTGGACCTTTTCTGTGCTTGTCAAAGTACTAGGGTTAGACGTGAGGTCGAATCGACCCGTGGTTGACCCGACCCAGCCCGTTATGGATCACAACCCCGTTAGGCCCGAGTGGGCCAAGTCCATGCTATATCTGAGTCATGGGCAAGGCTAGGTCCAGCTCTAGACGAGAGTCAGAGAAGTAGGCCCGGCCCACGCACGACCAGGCCCACTCCGACAATTCCCTAGCTAATGATATTTTTTTATTTGGGTAGTTGTTCATTTAGCCCTTTGGGTCTTTGGCCCGTGGGCCTTTTGGGTCATTGAGAAATAAAGCATTATTCTTTAAGCTCGATGTTGGCTACTTTGAAGGATTAAAAAGTTTATTATAAGTTTAAAAATAGTTTAATACAAGCTAAAATTACTAAAAGATAAAGTAGAAATAATCTTATAATTATAAATATAAGTTTAGTATAATCAAAAGGTAAAAAAATAGGGTGAACGAAAAACTCATGGATCGGCGTGCGACCCACGAGCAGTGAGCCAAGTCAGACTCGATCAGCACCTAGGAGGATCGTCGGCTGGGCTGGATCCATTTCCCTCGAGATTAGAGAAGTAGGTCGGCCCACTCTAAACCCGGTCGGGCCCGGGTCAGGATCAGCCCGGTCCACGCCGACCCCTACCAAGTATATTTGATCATTCTCTTTCTAGGGATTTGGCCATGATATATAGTTTATTATTTATTATACATAGCTAAAGCTAATGGTAATTAAAGTGGAATAAGGGGGTTTTTGGTTCACCCATTTTTTAGAAAAGTTTTGAGAAATCACCTAATAATAATATTTTTGTAAATAATATGTTTATGTAGATTTCCTCAAACTATGTTTGGTTAAAAAAATTTACAGAAATATTTTCTATAAAGTAGGGAAAAGTGGAGTGTTTTATGGAAATCAACTTTCTCTCCAAATGAGAGGAAACTGCCTAGAAATCTGACACATTATTTATAAATAATTAAGTACAACAATACCATTTAGGGGTGCTAAATCGTATCTGTATCTGAGGAAATATCTGTTATTGTATCCATTAGGATACAAATGTGGTTACTCAAGTCTATAACGGATAAGATATGGTTATGGATATGTTTTATAATGAAATATCTGTATCCGTATCCGAA